TTGATAAAAACATTTTATCTATTTTTTTTAATAATATGTGATCAAAACTACGCATAATATTATTAATAAAATTAATTTTAATAATAGTATTTATGTTATCATTTTTATTATATGGCGTAAACCACATTAACATAATTCTGAATTAATTATTTTAATTTCAATTTATATGAAAAACACATTATGTGGTTATACTGTAGATATTATAGATATCACAAATATTAAACTTGGATTTAATGGAAACCATTATTAGGACTTTTGGATATTTTAGCCGATTATTTATACTATTAATCCTAAAATCTCGTTTCACTAATTTTCTGGTCGATTGCTAAATAAAAATCTTTTTTTCTTTGTGTAAATGAATATAATTTGAACAAATGTTTAGAAACGACAGATAATAAAAAGTACAAGAAATTTATGATTAAAATTTCATATGAAATGACATTTTATTTTGATTATATGATTTGTATAACTCATAATAAAAAATCGTTTTATTTAAATCTTGTTTCAAATTAATTTATAAGTCACTCAAGAGAAAGCACTTATTAATCATGTATTCATAAATATATTTATATTTAAATCGATTTTTTTCGCGTACAATAAAATTTGTGATTAATGAGAGCCTATTACGCAAATCATTAATCATAACATTTTTATATAATTTTTTACTATATTTATTGATTGAAATCTTAAATACAATGCATTAATTTATTTTTAAAAGGGTATTACATTTTAGAGGCAAATAAATAAAAGCTAAATAAAAGAATAGTTGGCGAGTGGTGTCATTGATATCTAATGTTTGAGTTGTGGTTTTGATCCCATTTTGATCCCATGCCCTCTCCCTTTGTATACCCCTAACAGTGTTGTCACAAATTCATCTGAATTGTTGGCCATTACTAATGGCCTCAAATGTGTCGCAAACAGATGCACTGGTAATAAAAATTGTCGATACGACTCATATATATACTACTATACAAACTTTATTTATATAAAAACTAACTTTTTTGTTATTTGTGCCAAATTTGTCTTATCATATCAATATAATATTATATAACATATTGTATTGTATATATTCTATCATATATTGTCGTTAATATAAAAGTCAAAATTATGCAGAAATTTTTAACATTAAAATTCTTTTTATAATTAATAGTAATAGCAATAATACAATACATTACTACATTAAAAATGAATATTAAAATTTGATTCAATTTGATAATATTAAAATTAACTCAAATATCTAAACTCTTATTCATTAATTCACTTTTCAATAATTATTTTCTAATGTATTCTTATTATACTTTATAATACTTTCAATACTTTTATCAATTCTATATCTTTTAAGCTCTACTTATATTCAGTAAACTAATACTTTAGTATTAAGAAGTATAACAAAAACAATAAAAATCGTAATAAATATTTTATAAAGTATGTTATAATATATAATACTGTATAGAAATTATATTATCTAAATATTTATTTTAAAGCATGAGATTTTTAAAACTAACATTTTTTGTTATTATTTATTATAATAATTTTCAATTTATATAAGTTATATTAAAAATATAATATTTGCAAATATAAATTAATTATTGTCTGTATTAAGTAATATATATATATATATATTGAATATTCTCTACAATTATTATTATTATTATTTTAGTCTATACTAATCTTTTGTTTCCTAAATTTATTCATTAATATAAACATAATTTTATATATTTTCTACACATTTGTCTGTAACTCTAATCTCATTTACTGTTTTTAATTGTTTTTTTGCACAATTAAATAGATTTGAAATATGAAAATTAAAATTAGTTTTTTTTAAAAACATTATGCAATACATTTAAATTTATTCTATACTATTTCATTATTAGAATTTTTACTGAAAATATAATAAAAACAATATTACTGTAATATATTAAATTGATATATGTAAAATAAATATCAATTATTGTATTAATTTAGTGTTTCTTTTATTATTAAGATAACAACTAGTATGAGACTAATTATTACTTTCATTGAAAATAATGGCCATAATATCAAATTTATTTCTGTTATTATTTATATACAGTAATTAATTTTTTATAAAAAATAATTAGTGCTAATAACAGCTCTATATTATTATAAGTTAGAGTTAATACAAAATTGACGAATACATTGAAAAAACGTTTAACAATAAAATTGTTTAAAAATAAAATAATATTTTTATCAGTGATTACAGTATATAATAATCAATTTATTACTATTATTTGTTATTTTAATTTAAAAATCAATTAATTTAATTTTTTTAATTCTTAGTTATTGTTATTTGGTTAAACAATGTTTATTAGATATCAGTAAATAATATAATTTTTAGGAATATTTCAAAAATATTAAAATATAAAATTTTTGAATAAACATAATAATCAATATTATAATAAATAATTAAAATTAAATTTTAACATAACAGTACTACTAAATATTACAATTAAAAAATTATTTTTAACTTTAAATGATAATATATTCTTATTATATTTACTATATATTCAAATAGAAATTAAATTTATTTATATTAAAATTAATTTGTTATTTTAATCAATTATAAAATTGGTTCACATATTTCAAACATCATTGAACTATATGTTGAACTAAAACAAATGTAAAAATCAATTGCTTTTAAGCTTTTTAAAGAATATAAAGTATTAATTCTTAAGTACATTCACTGTATTATACAGTACTTGAAATTTTTAAAAATGTTTGAGATTTTAATAAAAGACAAAAAATTAATTTAATTTTAAAACAATTTTACTATAAAAATATCTTTTAAATTTTACACTATTTAAATCATTATTATATATTTTATAATATATTATATATATTTATTTAATTAATAGTTTTAGTTATAAACACCAAATAAAAAATAAGTTAAAAAAAGAAATATTTAAAACAAATAAAAAATATGTTATATTGATTATTTTTGAACATCAATTTTTAAGTAAAATAAAAAGCATAAATTTAATGCTATTTATGTAAAACAAACTATTTGTAAATTATTCTAGTATTAAATTGTATAATCATTTTAAATAAAATATATATTATAAATTATCTCTATTAATAATATAGAGATTTAACATTTTAAGAGTATTGAAAGTTAACAAATTAATTAATTCATTTATTTTGAAAAAATCAATCTTAAAATTACAGCTTTAATACTAGTTTTTATCATAAAGTTGTACATAATTTAATTTAAGTGTATTGCAACTCAATTAATACCTAATTATTTCTCATTTAAATATCTATTACAATGAATAATACGCTTAAGCTTTCAAAGTATTGATAAATATGAGACGGTGTGAACTAATGAAACTAATTAAGAAATGAATGAAATTTATTGTATGTGAAGGGATGGGATGGGATTTGATGGGATGGGGAACAGTATCTTATTTCTAGGAATATATCAGATTTGATATAATTAGGATAACAATTGATCCAAATGGTGACATTATTTTAGTATATTTATTGTCGATAATAATAATAATAATAATAATAACATAGTCTTCTCTGAATAATTGTTGTCATACCAATTGAAGACTTGTTAATAACGGATCAAATTCATTGATATCGACAGTCAGTGGAGACAATCAGTGAATTCCGTTGTGTTGACTGACGTCACATACGAGTGGTTGGACTCAAAGCATGTAATTTAGTCTTCACTTTCTTTTTGCTATCGCTTTACACATCTTTTATATCAATCTTTTTGCATTAACTCGAGTGTCAATTACTGTACAATGAAATAAATGAGAAAAAATTTTGACAACAAATTACAAATAATAAAAAAGAGGGACCAAATTGACACGTAATGGACACCCGATAAAGTCGACGGCGCACCCGATAATAGCGGGCGCGCATCTTATATGTTGATTAGATATTGATAGCGCACCGAAAATATTGGACTAGTCATCGATAAGAGCCCGACGCGCACCCAATTTGGTGGGCGCGCGCACTGACAGGCATTTCAGTTACAATACATATATATAATAGTTTTGTCCATTAAGTCATATCTGTAGTACTGTTTAGTTCTTTTGTAAAACCGGTCGACTATTTGATCATTTGATAGCAAAACCCTATTCTTAAAACAGTTTATTGTTGTGTATTGAATGTCATTGTAATGCACTCGTGATCTCAATGTCTTTCAATTTTTTTTTTCAATATCTTTCAATATGTGTCTAAATATCAAATAACTGTAGTGTATGTGTTTGAATGCATATAACGGCACACACTCTTAATGGTTGGATGCAGTTGTGATAAGACTACCAACAAACTTCTCAAAAACATCATCTCCCTGTTCCCAATCGCTATACAATAATTTTATACCACATACACACATTTATACAGTATATATATAGTATATCTATCATATATATATATATATAATAATTTTTGAAAAAGTGTCTATAGATATAAAGTAGTTCTATATATCTATTGAATGTAAGATATGATATAAAATATATTATATTATATACTGTAAGTGCAATTGAAGAGTACAACCATATTGTTGGAGAAATTTGTAACCATTTGAGTCGTGTATTGTTTTGTGTGTTTATATAACTTTTATGGTTAAAAATAATCAAAAAAAAGTTGTAATCTTGAAAAAATACATTTCAGTGAAAACAATGAAAACCAATGAAAAATATTAAATACAATTCATATATTGCTTTTCATTTCACTCCATTAATAGCCACCCATTCCCTGGACATCACTTTCCTTTTCGTTTCATTACATTTTTAAAAACTATATTTATAAAATACAAATCGATAAAAAAATATCTAATTTTTAAAGTTTCATCAAAAAATAGTTGTTATTACTATTACTGTTATTATAACAATTTTGCTTCAATAGTATATCCAGTGTTTTTATTATTATATTTTTTGACAAAAACATCTTTTTATGACTGACTCTGTTGTCTAACACTTATTTGTTATTTTTTATTTTTATTGCCTTTCTTTTAATAGACTGGAAACTGGAGTCAAGCCATGCAGTGTTTGTGCTGTTATTAGAGACAACCATTTAAATCAATGTTAGTGTTTGTGCCATCAGTCTGTCTACTGATAAAACTAAGCTTCAGGTGTCTGTAATAATGTCTAAATTTACAGTCAGAATAATCGGTGTCAATAGGACTGCCATTGAGCTAACAGTGCTGTTAATTGTTTGTTTCATAACATTAACAACATTTGCAAATCTTACACCAGAAAGAAGATTAAGTTCACGAGTGGTTCGCACAAAATATGGGGGTCTCAGGGGGTCTGTCATCACATTTCCCAACAAAAGTCTACAATCAGTAGAAGTGTTTTTAGGTATGTCTTATCGTTACATATATTCTAGCATTCATTCAATTACATGACATAGCATTTAAAACAATGATTGTATTGACGACACAAAAATGTCGTTAAATAGTCTATACTATACTTTTATAACAATAGATGAGGTCATTGAATAAATCAATTATTTAGCTTTTAATTAAAGTTTTAACAATAAAATAGTTAAACTATAAAATAACATTTGAAACTTATTTTCTATTGTTTAAGGCATTCCCTATGCATCGCCACCGACTGGTATGTACTCTACACTTATATTTTCAATTAATCTGTTGTTTTTATTTTCATTTATTTTCATTGGTATTATAAATATTACTAAAACTTATTGTAACCCATTATTACATAACAGGAAAGTTACGGTTTATGCCTCCGGTCACACCGGCCATCTGGTCGGGCACTAGAAGTGCTCATACAATCGGATCGGTTTGTCCACAAAAGTTGATTAATATAAACAATGAAACGGAAGCACTAAAGACTATGACCAGCGGTCGACTCAATATATTAAAGAGATTATTACCAACACTTCAAAACCAAAGCGAGGACTGTCTGTATCTCAACATATATGCGCCGGCAAACAGTAAGTCTATGACAAAAATTGTTGTTATATAATATATATCATATAAGAAATATCTATATATAAAGCATAGTAAACATCATATAAATAGTGTATTGAATACTACTTACATCACCAAAAACCACGTCTTTTAGCGTTCAATAGGAATAGCGTTTGGGAGTTAGGCATCAGTTTAACACTTCATTGCATATAACATATAAAACATATAAATTTTTATATACCAAACATTAGCGATGTTTGTTTGCCTTTTAAAAAATGTCAAAATAAATAGACAACTATTTGTTGGACGGATATCTTGTAGACTATCTTTAATACTCTTCTGAATATTATATTTGTTAAAAAAAATCTCTGCTTTAATAAGCTTTACTTTCACATATATATAAAAAATGTAAGTTTAAAAAAGTGTCATTTTTTATTGTTTATGTATTGCATAGTCAGCTAAAATACCAATTTTTATATTTGCAGACAATGTGTTATCAAAGACATTATCTGATTCATATATTTTTTTAGTTAATATTATTAAATTTAAAATGTTTATAAAATTGCTTTAATTTATATATATATATATATTGTAAAAAATTATTAAATGTATTTTTAATTTTAATATTTTACAACAACAAAAAAACTAAAAATGTCAATCAATTATAAATTACGACAATTTTTGCTATGTCAATTTAAAATATGCAATATTTATAATAGACATTATTATTATTATTTTAATGAATAATTAATTATAAATTAAGTTTCTTATATATAGCAAAAGTATATGTACAGTAATTGTAGGTCTATAATATAATTTATAACTAATATATACGGTATATATATATATATACAGTAATATACATTTTCTATTGTATAATACTGTATATAGTAAGAGTGGTAAACATATTTATATTATGTATTTTCCTTATAGAAAAAGATAATAACTATTATATAAAAAAATTTAATTCTTATGACATGTTTTTGCTTGAGTTGAAGAAAATTTGCTTAAATTCTCCATATATTTGCCCACACTTTACATATAAAAACAATAATTTCTATGCGAAGAAATAATCTTATAAAAGATGATAAAAAAGTGAGTGAGAAAAATGTTTTTGCAATTTATAAGTGAAAGTATATCAACAGTAATAGACAACTGAATAGAGAGAGAGAGAGAGAGAGAGAGAGAGAGAGAGATGTAAAAGATGTAAATTTTTCAATTCATTTTGAAGTCCAATAATATTAAGATAACTATAATTTTATTTTTATATATTTTTTTAACCAAATTTATTCCTTTATTTATTCGACATATTTTTACTACAATCTGCTATTTTAATGTATGTCTAATACAGTGTGATATATATAAATCAGTGCAGATTTATTTTAATTTAAGCATATTATATAAACTAAATTTTTTATTTTCAACAAAATTTTTAGTTTAATTTATATAACTCATAATTACAACTTTCTATAAAATATATTTGGATTAATTTAAATTAAAATATGATAATTTATATTTGTCATATTATATACACTTTATACCACAAATGCATTGCTAAATTGATACCCATTCAAAAAAAATTTAAAATAATTTGTTGACCATTTTGATTGTTTATTGAAATATAGGACATTACTACTTAAGACAATCCTATTCTCCATTTTAATGCCAATTAATTCAAATTCAAAATTTTCTCTTTTTATAATTTGGCCGCTATTTTGTTTATGTTCCTAAAGAGATATGTCATTTTGTAATACTGATCCCCTATACCTTATTTTTACCGATCAGATATCAAAATTTCAAAATCAGAATTAAAATGCGACAAACAGACAGATAGACAAACAGACAGATAGACAAACAGACAGATAGACAAACAGACAGATAGACAAACAGACAGTTAGACAAACAGACAGACAGAGACATATTTAGATTTCAGAAAACAAACTTTTTTCAATGTTTGTTTGAAAATGATAACTTATGAAAGTATTCATTGAGGAGTATAATGCTATTTAGACATAAGCTTATCAATTAACTATTATTATTATATACATATATATTGGATTTTTTTGTCTATTTTTAGATGTCTTTCAAGTGAACTCTTGTTATAAAAAATACATATATTTATCATCTTATATGAAATTTGTGTTATTTTATGTCTAATTATTTTGTTATTTTTAAAAATTAAATGTTTTATTTTCTTAAAAGAAATATTTTCAATTTTTGATATGAATTAAATTTGTATTTGTATTTAGCACTTAAATGTTGTCAACAACTGTATATTAATGGATATACTTATAAGAATTTTACTTGAATTACAAAACAATTTATTGTATTTTATAAAATATTAGAATTATATGATTTATTGAGTTATTGAGTTATAAACTGTATTTATATATTTGTTATTTATGCGATCAATAAAATATATTTATAACTAATACCCAATTATCTATAGACCAGTTGCTCATTAGTTGCAATGTTTTTTATACTATTAATACAGCACTTAATACTATGTCATCTTTTATAAGCATATCGTTTATTACATGAAATATATTCCACTATTAGTCTAATTAATTTGTCTTACATTTGCATTTATTTTTGTTATATTGGATACATCACAGAAAATGATAAAACAAATACATTGTAATCAATTATATGAATATATCTTCTAATTTTAATTGAAAGCAATCCCATGTTTTATTCTAATAAAAAATGTTTTATTATTATATAAACTTATTTTAAATATTTTTTGTTTTAGTTTATATTAAATATAAAAGTATAAACAAATGACTGATAGCATAATTATTAAATGCTTTGGTATATTATGAATTTTAATACATTTAATTATATTTAATTATTTATAATTTATCATGAACAAAACATTTTTTAAAGTGTTACATAATATTATATTTTCAAAATAATTTTTAAATTATCTATTCTTATAATAATTAATTAATAACTATTACATTGTATATTATTATATTTATATATTTTTTAATTAACATTAATTAAAAAGTGATTAGTTATTTTCGTATTTAGTTATATAATTGCAATGGATAATGACTAGAGTTGGCGAAAAATAGAAATTTATAGAAAGTTTCTAAAAGAAATTTTTGTATATGGGATCCATATATTAATTTTGTTATTTCGATATTTGTTATTATTTAACAATACATAGTATTTACAAATAATAACTAAATATTGTTATTACTACTATTATTATTATTTTAATTAATTTTCAAAATAATAATAAATCTATTTAAATACATTAAACTTAAAATATAAATGAATGATGAATAAAATTTTATAAAACTAATTATAATTATATAGATTACATTTGTATAGTAGTGTAGTGTTTAGTATAACTTTTATTATAATAGCTATAGATATGGAAATCCCATAGTACAATGTATAATAATAAAGTAAAATTTCAATGGAAATTTATTCTTGAGAAATTTACTAGAGACTTTCTCAGAGAAATTTATTAGGAATTTTTATTTGCTCATTTCTAATAATGACATTAATTGAAATTATTCATATTAATACTGTATACATTCGCTGATCAATTTTATATTTATTTAATATATTTGTATAAATACTATCATAATATACTGTATATATAATTGTCATACATATGTAAAGTTATATTACAAAAACCAGTAATGATTAACATTAGAGACTTTGTATGATTTATTTATTTAATTTACACAAAACTGTTAAAACAGAACACTGTTGAGTCAATTATTGCATTGAATTATATTTAGAAATGAAGTTATGTTAGGATATAATTAGACTAAATTTATGACATTTTTGTATTACACAAATAATAAATGTGCCAAGTACACTTACATTACAGTACATTACCAAACATACTATTTTTAACAATTAAAATTTTATACATACAAATTTTACGCATATGTAAATGTAATTAATTAATAAATAACAAAACATGTAATATACACTACTGTTTTGAACTTTATTTATATATAAATTTATATTTAGTATATAAATTGTACGCTAATATAGCTTAGGCTTTTATTTTGATTATATTTTATATTTTAATATTATTAAAATATTAGATGAACAATACTGATTTTTTTTAAAAAACAAATAATTTATTCTAATAATTATATTTTTCTTTTTATCTATAAAAATATTTTTTTTAATTACTTTAGATATTTGTTATATTAAATATTTAGTAAATTGAAATGCCATTCATGTATTGAAGTGAATACACAATTTAATTGTTGTAATTTCCGTTTCAAACGGTGAGCATTAAAACACTGAGATTTTTAATATTAAAACTAATAAAATGTTTCACTACAATAATATATGATACGTATGTTTTACTTTGATCTCTCTCTCTCTCTCTCTCTCTCTCTCTCTCTCTCTCTCTCTCTCTCTCTCTCTCTTATCTATACTCAGTATAAATGACAAACACTTATATTATGGCCAATCTCTGTGTGTGGCCTTCTCTTAACACTTTGTATTATATTTTTTTAGTCAGTCTTTAGCACTGTTCAGAGCACATGAATTATATGACTATTTTTTGTTGTGGAGTTTGAGTGTTGGAGTGTTAGACCATTTGATACAAAAATCCGATTATATTAAATCACTGCAACACTACTGTTATTTTCTCCAATATTTTTATTTCTCTTTCAATCATCAAAATAGATACAGATTTTTATTTTACTTTTATATCCACCCTATCTATTACATACCTTTCCAATATTTGCTTCATATTTTTTCTTAGAGTTATATGTTTTCAAACATTTTACATGAAATTTTGTTATAATATAAAATAACGCTTTCATTCATATAAATATAACAAGAGATTCAAGTTTTTCAAGAGATGACTGCATTTGATGAGATGGTTATTGATATGCTTTGAGATATAAAATATTGTGTGTGAAGTTGTAGAGAGAGAGAGAGAGAGAGAGAGAGAGAGAGAGAGAGAGAGAGAGACTTTAAAAGGTTTTCAGCGAAGCCTTTATTTCTGTTAACATCTCTTTTAAATAAATTCAATGAC